GTAAACTTAACAGCCAATCAGATTCCTAGGCTTTGGGCAGAGGTAAACTTAACAGCCAATCAGATTCCTAGGCTTAGGGAAGAGGTAAACTTAACAGCCAATCAGAGTCCTAGGCTTAGGGAAGAGGTAAGCTGAACAGCCAACCAGAGTCCTAGGCTTAGGGAAGAGGTAAACTTAACAGCCAATCAGATTCCTAGGCTTAGGGAAGAGGTAAGCTGAACAGCCAACCAGAGTCCTAGGCTTAGGGAAGAGGTAAACTTAACAGCCAATCAGATTGACAACCTTTAATAAAGGAAACTCCACATCCAATCAGATTTCTACCCTTAGGAATACCAAACTCTTGTATATTAAGATCATATTCAGTCACATGACTATGTGATAATGCCATTGAATGTGACTAAATATTTGCTTTGTTCTTCAATGTTTAAGCAAATAAAATGCCATAAGATAAAATAAGTTCAGTACAGCATAGAGTGTGGCTCTAGTTTCTATCTTACATAAGCCATAAGTAGTTACAAGGTTGTGCCCGAAAGGGATGAAGTGTTTAAACATTGCCAGCAGAATCGGCCCAGCATTGCTAAGCATGGCTCTTAAACCACAGGTAGGTTATGTCGATAGCAGATGTTTGCAGGTGGCACCAGGTGTTCACAGGTGGCACCAGGTGTGTACAGGTGTGTACAGGTGTTCACAGGTGGCACCAGGTGTGTACAGGTGTTCACAGGTGGCACCAGGTGTTCACAGGTGGCACCAGGTGTTCACAGGTGGCACCAGGTGTGTACAGGTGTGTACAGGTGTTCACAGATGTTTGCAGGTGTTCACAGGTGGCACCAGGTGTGCACAGGTGGCACCAGGTGTGTACAGGTGTGTACAGGTGTTCACAGGTGGCACCAGGTGTTCACAGATGTTTGTAGGTGTGTACAGGTGTTCACAGGTGCCACCAGGTGTTCCCAGGTGTCACCAGGTGTTGCCTCACCTGGATCCTCTGCCCCATGGTCAGCTCCAGGTAGAATTCCCTGAACCACAGCTGGGACAAGTCGCAGCACTTCTGCAGGGTTTCTGTAAGGCAAAAAGCAGCCACAGGATGTAGAAGCATATAAAATACTCCATTTTTATTCAACACAAAGAACCGGTTAAGCTTTATATGATGTTTGCCAGGTGAGTAGGACAGGACTCTAGCCAGCTCAAAATCTTTTTCCGTCAGCCCAGGTTCATAATTGGACCTGGGGGGGAGAGCACTCGCACAGCTAGGGGAGTGCAGGGTGGTCCTTCTGATGTTTTTGTATTATCACCCAAGATTTTTACCAATTCTTTCCGTCAAGGTGGACGTATCATCATTTTGTCGGATTGGCTAAAAAAATTTCCGTCAATTGATGGAAAAGCTGGTGCTAGCTACAGCCATGGAGTAGGATTTACCTGAGAAATTTAACAGGTGCGTGTAGAAGAATGACTGTTTGTGGAAGGCGTCCAGCGAGGTCAGCGCCATCCCGTCCATCTCCTTCCGCAGAGTTTTCTTGGAGGACGGGCCGCCGCGGTCCGCAATCAGCGACTCCAGCATGGTGCGCACCATGTACAGCTGGGAGGGGGGGGCATTCATGTTAGTTCTGAATACTCAGGAGGATTTTAGAAACATTTCAGACTTTACACAAAAAGCAGTTACTCAAGCAACTGGATATGATTTTGGAAACGGTCAGACGTTTCAGGTAGCATCCACTAGCTTTCGTCAGTTATACTAAGAGACCAGAGGAGAAATGCACTTTTATAAGCAGGAACTATTAATTGATATGCAAATAAGTGAAGTGAAATTGTATTATACTATGGAAAGATAACATTTGACAAATGCATAATGTTTACCTTCACACAGTCTAGCCTGACAAGCTACTGCTTTATTTTTTCTTACTTAAAAACATTCATATTATCTAGTGACCGGCCCCTCCAGCTCTGTCCTGCCACTTGCTACATAATGTAACCCAACACCACAGGGTGTCTGCTACAGCAATGGTTACCATGGTGACAGACGTCTGGCCCAGGTCATTGACCTAATTTGTATGGAGAAGAAGGAGAAGCAGAGCAAAAACAACAACTTTACCTTAAAGGTTAACATAATAAATTATCCCTGTCCAGGCATGACACAGATTTGGGAAGTTGGAAAAACAAATTTTAATCTCCAAACACCTGCATGAGTTACCTGCATGGAACACCTGGAGCAGTTACCTGTTAAACATCTGACCTTCTTACCTGAGTGGAAGACGGGCCGACGTTCCTGCGCGGCACGTGGATCTGGTACCCAGACTTCGGGTCCTTCTCGCCCTTCAGACAGGGGTCGTCTGTGGGCTCCATCCCTCGCATCCAGTCCACACACGTGTCACGGATGGATGTCAGAATACTGGGGAAAAACACACGTGTAACGGATGGACGTCAGAATACTGGGGAAAAACACACGTGTCACGGATGGACGTCAGAATACTGGGGAAAAACACACGTGTCACGGATGGATGTCAGAATACTGGGGAAAAACACACGTGTCACGGATGGATGTCAGAATACTGGGGAAAAACACACGTGTCACGGATGGATGTTAAAATACGTTTAAAAAAGGAAAAATACTGTTCAAAATACTGTTTTTAAAAATAGAAACATTTGCAAAGGAAATGCATAATGGCCTAGCCTAGAAAACTACTGCTCTATTTAATCTTATTCAAACACATTCATATTTATTAATCATATATGCTCAGCCCCTCCATCCCTGTCCTGTCAATAGCTACATAATGTAACCCAACACCACAGGGTGTCTGCTACAGCACCAGTTACCATGGTGACAGACGTCTGGTCCAAGTCATTGACCTTATTTATTTGGAGAAGAAAAAATGGAGCAAAAGCAATACTGTAATTCCTGATTTTTTCAATGTACTGTTATGTTTTCACTATAACTTCTGTACCGTGAACTTATCATTACAGTTAACAAATAATTCCTGGACTTTTTCCTGCACCAGTGTTACCACTGTAAATATACAATTCCTTCAACATGTCCATTGTTCTCAGACTGTGAACTTTTGCTACTATGAACATAAAGTGAATTACAGTATGTTTTCCTTCTGCAAAAGTAAACAAAAAACACGTCATGGACAATCTAAATGATTGAGAGAATATGAACACTAGCGATGCAGCTGACCTCTTGATGAGAGTTTTCTTCTTCTTGACGGTTTGTCTGAGCGGCTCGCGCAGCACGATCTGCACAAAGTCCTGCAGGTCTGCGTAGATGTTTCTGCGGATGGCCTCGTTAAACACGGACTCCATTCGCGACATCAGCAGCTGCAGACCTTTGATCATCGCGATCACCTCCACAAACGCAAACTTCTCATCCGTGTCGTAGTTATACCGAGTCGCCTGCAGCGGGGAAATGTTTCATAATACACCTCAAACTTTGGGAGACATTCAGAACAGGATAGTTCTCTTACAGAACAGCATAGTACCCTTACAAACGCAAACTTCTCGTCTGTGTCGTAGTTGTACCGAGTTGCCTAAAGGGGAAAATGTTTCAACTATCATACACCTCAAACTCTACGACATACTCCTCAAACTTTAGGAGACATTCAGAACAGGACAGTACTCTAACAAATGCAAACTTCTCGTTTGTGTCGTAGTTGTACCGAGTCACCTGAAGGGGGGAGGGGAGATCATGAGGGCTCAATTGCCAGGAATGTTTCAATGTACAACACATTCCAACTTTAGGAGACATTCTGGGTCTGCTTCCATGTTTTACATGCTTGTGCCAACAATTATAGAACAGGATAGAACTCTAGTAAGGTGCCCATTTGTATGTCAAAAAGAAGAAATCTTTACTGACACAAATGTACAGCAGCTTTTGTAAAGTTATCTACAACTATAGATACAAACAAACACGTTTTACATGTGAGATACACTCCAGAACAGTACTCTTACCCTCTCATACTCCTCGGCCTCCTTGGGGCAGTCTTTGTTGGAGAAGTTGTCGGTTGGATGGACCAGTTTCCACGAGTACTGCGGAGGGAGCGTAAATTTAAACTTCAGATGTAACAAAGAAGACCCATCTTCTCGAGTATACTACATGTATTTTGTCAATTCTGTCAACTCACCAATAGTGGTAAAAAAAACCTGCTACAGGTGTATCCTGCCATGTCAAAGCTGGAAATTTCCTGATATTGGTGGGAGATCTTGCACTATATAACAAGTTCTGGTGTTCTGGAATGAGCACTGCAGTACCAGAATGACCTGCTAGGTGGGGTAAGTGTACTGACCAGCTCCATGAGTTGCACAGTCCATGAGGACAGCAGCTGGACCCCCCGCAGGGCCAGGTCGCACAGCTCCTTGTTCTCCTCGTCTGTACGCGGGCTGTCCTTCTGCGCTGTCGTCACAACCTACACAAACAAACAAACAAACAACATTAACACATCGGTGTGGGCTGTCCTTCTGCGCTGTCGTCACAACCTAAACAAACAAAGAAAACAAACATAAACACAACCAGCTGCAGAAACCCTCAGCATCTGCAAATTCTGTATACAGGACAACACTTTCCTATAAAGCTACTCAAGCAAGTTCCTCAAGCAACTGGACACTGTTTTGAAAACTGTCAGATGTTTCAAGTAGCAGCCACTGCTGTTAGTCAATGATTGAAACATCAGTTTTTGAACCTGGAGCTTAACCTTCAACAAAGCACTAGTACTTAGTAGTAATCCAGATAATACCATAGCTGTTAGAATGAAGCAATTTGCATGGTCATCCATCAAGTATCATGCATTCTGTACAGTCACAAAGTCATTGCAGTCTTTATCAGACAAGTTTGAATTCTCCCAACCCAACTTACCTCATTGCTGTGCCTTGCCAACTCACTGATGTACTTTGTGTGCTCCTCTCTGATTGGCTGCAGCTGTTCCAGGATGTTGTAAGAAGGGCTGTTATTGGTTGCTGTGCAGGTCCAGCGGGACTTGTTCTCCTCGTAGTGGGGAGATTTGGTGATGTAGCTGTAGAGGGGGATCTGCATGTCCCCGAATAATGTCACCACTTGGAGTTGCTGTAAGATAAAAATACAGGGTTAACTACACATAGAATGGTGATATTTTATGTTACAGAATGTTATGTTATAGAATGGTAATACATTATGTTTATATTTCAAATGGTCTAGCCTAACAAACTACTGCTCTGCTAATTCTTACCAGAAATATTCATAAATATATGTGGTGACCAGCCCCTCCAACTCTGTCCTGCCACTTGCTACATAATGTAATCCAACACCACAGGGTGTCTGCTACAGCACCAGTTACCATGGCGACAGGCATCTGGTCCAGGTCATTGACCTCATTCATTTGACAAAACAGAGGATAAGAAGAAACAGAGCACAGAACACAATATGTTTTACTTCTGCAAAACTAAACATAAAAATCAGATCAAAATGCATGAAAAAATGTACCTTGAAGTACTTGTCTATCTTGGACAGACTGATCCTCTTCTTGCTGTCCAGTTTGTAGATGTTAGACTGGCTCCCGTCCATCAGGTACAGGCCGAATCCCATCACCTGGGAACATGGAAACACACTAGGTTATCATAGCCTCAGGGGGCCTGGTTATGGGCTATGATTGAGTATGACACACAGGGTCACCACAGCTTCAGGGCACCTGCTGCCGGGCTACACCACATGGTGTTTGCACTCATGTGACTGAAACATAAGTACTGTCGGCCATGTTGGATTCTTAAACGTGACAGCTACAAAGTAAATTTGAATTTTTTTTAATTTAGACTCCAAGAAACTTGCTGTCAGGATCTGACCAATGAACTTTCAGTTCCAGACATGAAACTATGACATCATACATGTGCAAAACTTGTAGGTCTGACTCTGTCCAGTTTCAGCCAACCAGAATTATGGCCAGACTATCAGACTGGGCAGATTTGTGAGCAAATGCACACCGATTCCCTGCGTGAGAAGGATTAACAACCCTATACTGCAATGCCACCAAGCTTTTGCAAAAGGTACTGCAGTGAGTTGCTTGAGTTGTTTGAATTGAAATTTGCTTCTGATTATCTGGCTGATTTCAAGATCAGTGGTGGGTACATTGTTATGGCTTCTGGAAGTGGTCTGGTGAAACCATATTGTTTTCTCTGATGTTTCTTCTCCTCCTTCTCCTTCTCCTGCCATTTTTTAAAATGGATTCAGCTTCTTCATTTTGGGGCCTAAGGATCTGAAATTTGGTATGGAGGTACAGTGGGCAAATACCCTTAGGCGTTTTTTTAATTTTTGTGATACAGGCTTTTAGAATGGTTTTATTTGAGTTTTTTGGCTGTATTATAGCAAATGTATTACTGTGTCAGTGGGCAGTGTTAACCACATTTGGCATCACAATGGAATGCAGGGCATCAACCAATAGGCATGCAGCTTTCCTCTCTTCTTCTTGCTGATTGGCTGTTGGGATTTAACTTGATTAACACCTGCACAGACCATTTCCACCTGCACAGAGCATTTCTTGCTGATTGGCTGTTGGGATTTAACTTGATTAACACCTGCACAGACCATTTCCATACTGACAGTATGTCTTTATTCAAGTGTTTTGGTAGGTATTTCAAGCTTTTCTGCTCCAGCATTGGAATGCGGGGCATGAACGTTTTTTATTTTATTTTGAAAATCAACAGTTTGTATTATGCAATTAAAAATCCTAACCAATAAAGTAGGGAATAGCTATCCAACTGTTGTTTTAGTTGTATGTTACTTCATATTATAGTTATATCAATGTAAATCATTGTTTTCCCTTGTGTTTCTCATTCTTTCCCTGCCATGTGGTAAAATGTGGTGAACCCATCGCTGTATTTGCTCCAAAGCAAATATTGGCCTTTCTAGTTTTTGATCACGTTTTCTTCTCCTCCTCCTCCTGCCATTTCTACAAATTCAAACTCCTTCATTTTTGGACAAGTAAGATGAGATTTGGCATGAAGGTAGAGTGGGCAAATGCCCCCAGGCTTTTTTTTTCTATTTTTGTTGATACTGG